ATAAAAAACAGTGCAGCTGTAAAAATGCTTCTAAAACCTGCTGTACCGATCTTGAAAAGTGATAATGAGGGACAAGAGAGTTGGCAGGGGTTCTCTCATGCCCGCTGGCCTCCATTTTTGAGGCCTCATGGAGAACGGGTGAAGTTCCAGAGGACTGGAGGGTGGCATCTGTGGTCTCAGTTTTCAAAAAGGGAAGTAGAAGGGACATAGGGAATTACAGACCTGTTAGCCTTACGTCCATTGTAGGAAAAGCAATGGAAAGGCTCATAATAAAGAGAGATCTAGTGATGCTAAATAGGGAAGGGAGGCTGGCAGCCACACAACACGGCTTCCGCAAAAACAGGTCCTGCCAGACAAACTGTGTGGAATTCTACAACAAGGATTTGAGATGGCTGGATGGAGGGGATGCAGTGGATGTGGTTTACCTGGATTTCAGCAAGGCCTTTGACAAAGTGCCCCATGATATCCTGATGGAGAAACTGAGGAGTTTTGGGATATAAAGCACTGTCCGATGGATCATGGCAAGATTGATTGACTGAAAGCAGAGGGAAACCATTAGTGGGGAATCATGGGGATGGCAGCCAGTGACAAGTGGGGTCCCCCGGGCTCTGTCCTGGGGCCAATCCTGTTTAATCTTTTCATAAATGACATGGAAGAAGGGGTGAACAGTCTGCTGATCAAATTCGCAGATGATACTAAAACTGAAGCAGTGGCCACAACTGAGGAGCAGGTACTCCAGATCCAAAAGGATCTGGACAGACTATGGAAGTGGGCAGGAGACAACAGGATGGCATTCAATGTGGATAAGTGCAAGGTCTTGCACTTGGGGCATAGGAATAGCTGTCATAAGTACAGGTTAGGTGACAAGTGCCTGGAGAGCAGCACTTGTGAAAGGGACCTCGGGGTGCTGGTTGGCTGCAGGCTGAACATGAGTCAGCAGTGTGATGCGGTGGTCAAGAGGGCGAACGCCACCCTTGGTTGCATAGCCAGAAGTGTGGCTTCTAGATCAAGAGAGGTATTACTACCACTCTATACAACTCTGGTGCGCCTGCAGCTGGGGTATTGCGCTCAGTTCTGGGCCCCTCATTACAGGAAGGATATAGCCAGGTTAGAGTCAGTGCAGCGTAGGGCCACAAGGTTGGTGGCAGGTTTGCAGGGGATGCCGTATGAGGCGAGACTGAGGGAACTGGGTCTCTTCAGCCTAGAGAAGAGGAGACTCCGAGGGGATATGTTGGCGACATACAGGTATGTGAGGGGATGTCACATGGAGGTGGGTAGAGACCTGTTCTCCCCTGCAGAGCAAGGCAGGATGCGCTCCAGCAGAGCAAAGCTCAGGGAACCAAGATTCAATTTGGATGCCAGGAAGTGCTTCCTGACAGTTAGGACCCTGAGGGTATGGAATGGGCTTCCACGGGAGGTGGTTGAGGCCCCATCGGTGACGGTGTTCAAAGATAGGCTAGACATGCACATGGTGGGCATGTCATGAGCGGAGCCGGCTGGAGCTGGGGGTCAGACTAGATGGCCCAGAAGACCCCTTCTGACTCTCTCTGTTTCTATCTTTCTAAGAGAAATCATCAGAAATGTGTTAGGGTTAGGCAGCCTCATCACAGAGATCAGCGCTCTTACAGATATGAAGGGAACCAGTGTGGTGCAGTGGTTAAGACCGTGGGCCTGAGACTCAGGTGATCGAGGTTCTAATCCCCACTCAGCCCTGGAACCAGCTGGGGGACTTTGGACCAGTCACAGACTCTCAGTCCAACATACAGGGCTTCCTGTTGTGTGGATAAGATGGAGAGCAGCAGGAGGACAATGAGTTGGCTGTCTTGAGTTCTTCAAAAAAGAAAAAAAGTGGGATATAACTCTAATAAATAAAACATATTTAAGTGGAGATAATAATAGATACATGCTCATGAGCTACATTAGATGGTGAATGTGGAACTGAAGAGAGGCTCTCTGACTGGGTACTTTATGAGAAAACTAAAAGCCCAAGAGCAGGAATGACACAAATTGACACCTGTAATGGAGCCTTCTGTACAAACAACCAATCTGCCAGGAGGGGGTTAAAATGAGTGGGCAGAAGGCAGATTGAGATCTATGGTTGCCCCCCCCCCCCATCTTGGAAAGATCTCCCTGCTGTGGCTTGCCATCTTTCTGGTGTTGGGTCAAGCCAGCCCTCTATGCAGGGACCTTTAAAGTAATCCTTGGTTATTTAGGGGCCTGAGGATATTATGGTGCTTCTTCTTGCCAGGTCTTTTTATTGTATTTTTACTGTATTTTTATTCTATATTAAATTAATTTTAATTTCTTTTAACAAAGTTGTTTTATGCTTTTTGTACTGTATTTATTGTTTTGTTTTATACATTTCTGTAAACTGCCCAGACAGCTTCAGCTGCGGGGCAGTATAGAGATGGAATTAATCTTCCTCTTCCTTGATATAGTTACGGCTAGTTATTCAGACTAAGGTTTCTGACTTTTGATTATTTAACAGAGACACACATCCCCATCAAATTGGGCTTTTCTATCTCATTATTTTATGAAGAAAGTTTGGGAGGAAGCCAGGAGCAGATTATGTGTGTGAAAAGATTGAGTTGATATATTGCTCACAATAACCCTGTTCCCCTCTAGGCAGACCTGATACTAAAACCTTGTTTCTGGGATGGGCAGAACAGACCCTTCCCAAGATCAAGGCAGCAAACCTGAAATCTGCCCACCCTGTAGTTTAAAAGAGAAAATTTTATGCTCCTAGAGCCTTCCAACTCTATTCAGATATTCATCTGAATCCTAATTTCATTAAAGATCAATGGATTAAAATAAACAGTCCAGATAACTTTGAAAAGAAAATTAAAACAAATACACAAAAGAGATTGTACAGCCAATTGAACATTTCACCGATTCCCTTCTATTTTTCATTCTGCTGTACTGTGATTCTGGCTAGAAGTGCTGGATGGGCTGCAGCTGCAAGAGCTCCTTGCTGAATGTACCTTGCTCGGTGCAGTGCCCCCTGCTGCAGGGTGAGGGGGGAGCTGGGGGGGGTGCTTCTGTTTGTTATCCTCACTTGGGTGGCACTAGCAAGAAGACATGGCTAATATCATTTGGGTCTTCTACTCCTCTTTTCCGCCTCTTTTCCCAGTAGTGCCCTAAACTTCTAACACTTGGATGGCTGGCTGGAATTCAGAAAATGGGGCTTGCCAAATTGTAATCCTGATAAGCAGCTGGCAAGTTGTTGAAAACCAGTTCTATTATCCTGACAGAATTTCCCGCATAGATGGCTTGAGACTTCTTTGTAGGCTTAGAGTGCACTGGGTCAGCCTCTCGACCTGGGCTGTTTTCTCTAAGAAGGAGTCGAGATGAGCGTGGCTCACTTCTCCTGTCCACTTGTTTTAGGACAGTTCACAAAATGGGTGCCGTAGTGGATGTGGCCAGGTGTAGAACTCCTATTTTCCAGAAGGCAAACTGGCAGATCAAGCTCTGATTCCCAAATGCTAATTTACGTATTTGTCCTCACAAAGCATAACGAAATGCCAATTTCACAGAAAACAAACTGGTAATGCTTAGAGCATTGCACATCCGTGCACACATGGACACCACCTGTTATGCCCAGGTTACTTTATGTATTTATGTATGTATGTATTTATTTATTTATTTGAAGTTGGGGGCTAGGCATGCTTCAAAATTGTTCTGGACTCCAGTCATATGTCTTTCTATCGCCTAAGAATTTGTCTGGAGTTCACAGGCTTTCTTGGAAATAAAGATGGCACTGACAGCCAGGCTTCAGTTCAAGCACAGCAGCCACAGCTTGTTTCTATATGTAGGGATGATTCAGTAGATAGGAGGCATGAAACAAAATCCCTCACAGGACTAATTAGTGCTGTCTTGCGTCATCCCCACCCTGCCCCCGCCTGCCTTCCAAGCAGATCAGGACAGAAGGCTTTCTAACCAAAGTCTTAATTATTTTTATTTATTTCTTTCATTCCAATTCTATGCTGCCCCATAACCCGAAGATTCTCTAGGCAGCTTAGAAATGCTGCAAACAAAAGGCATGTAATACAATGGAGAATTATGTTAAAACTGACCAGCTCAGCTGGCTTATTGAAACGAGAGAATCACAGAAGTCATTACACTAGACACAAGTGAAGTTAGACTACTGGCTATTAGGGAAATGTGACTGAATGACGCAGCATTGATTCAACATTCTTCCCTTCCCAGCCAAAGGACCGACCTCCACCATCAAGGCGTCTCTTGCTGCCCGTGGGCGAGTGACTGAGCGCATCAGACCCTTCTGCGTTGGTGCGCCCTTGTTACTGGATGCTGGGCAATTGGATTGAAGTGTAACCCTCCTGGCTGTTGCGCACACACTCCTTAGTGCTGCATTTTGTGTTCCTCCCTTGTGGAAGGGCTTCAGTGGCTGCATGAGCAGAGCAACCTGGCCAGGTTACACCAGTATCAGCCCAGCTGCTGAAGTTGTGGGGGCCTCAGATGGCATTCCAGTTCACCCCTTGTATTTCAGGCTTTTGGTATTTGCACATATTGATTTATTTGTTTCATTCATGTCATTGCTTATTCCATGGAGCCCAAGGTGATGAACATGATTATCCTCCTCTCCCTTTCATCCTCACAACAACCCTGTGAGGTAGGTTAGGCTGGGAACCAGTGACTGGCCTAAAGACACCTCATGAACTTCATGGTCAAGGGAGGACTTGAACCCAGGTCTCGCCGGTATGAGTCTAACATTCTAATTGCGTTTCATCATACATATATTGTCTCTCTGTGTGTGCATGATATTGACGTCAGGTACGTTGATTGGTTTCTTGCATCCAATTTCACTTTCCCCCACATTAAGCAAAATCCACTAATACAAAGTAATGTGCAAGTTTTCATTTTGGGCATCCTACTTACACATTTCCATTGGAACTGATCATCTAGCAGATGCGCAGGATGGCCTGCTTTTAGAAAGAATGTAAAATGCTCCAGCAAAAGAGGCACGCTGCAGTGAAGACCTGCTATTTTATTTCGGTGGTACACAGGCAAGAAGCAGGGCAGGTTTGCTTTACTCGTAAGCTCGCACACCCAGACTCTGTTGCTAAGTGATTGCAGTCAGGGTCCTTATCTTCATATCTGCAAGGATTGGCTAAAAATGAAAGAACAGCGCACTAGCCATCAATTTAAAAACAGCTGTGAAAAATTGAACCGCCAGGTATTTTGTTCAGGTACTGTGACTGTTTAGTTTAATGTTCTTCTGCCTAAAACTCCACTCTCAAGATTCTTTAAAGAAAACTGAAAGTTGTATTTGTTTGTTTTATTAGTAGCTTCAATGACTAGAATAACGGAATAAGTAATTACTTTAGCAGTCCTGGGCAAAATCCAGATAAAGTTAGGCACCCTTTTAAGTGCTTGATGTTTAGGCTCTAAGCCAGGGGTCCTCAAGCTTTTCCACCAGGGGGCCAGTCGAAAGGTGCCCGGGCTAGGCAAGGGCCGGAAAGGTGGGGCCGGCAGTGCCGTGGGCCGGCGTGGGGGTGGGGCACATGGTGAGGGAGGCGAGGCGGGGGCAGGCATGTTTGGGGATTATGGACATTTAGTTCAAAGCATCGGGAGGGTAACCAGTTGGGGAAAGCCATTTAGACTCTTGTACTGCACTTACTGCACAGTCCGTTGTCACAAGCTGAAGGGCAGCTGCCACAGGAGGGTCCTGCCTTATACGGCGTTTTAAGCAAGTCATGTATGTTTCCCCTAAAATGAAAAATGTGAAGAAGCAAGGATTATGAATGAGCAGGGTATACTGTATTTTTCCACGTATAAGACAATACTTTTTCTTAAAAATACTTACTTCAAAATGGAGGGGTGTCTTATACACGGGAGGCCAAGAGGAGAACTGCGGGCACGCTGGGGGCGGGGGGAGACTGGCACGATCATGGGTGTGCTGGGGGCGAGACTGCCGTGATTGCGGGCGCGCATGTGGGGAGGGGATGAGGCGGTGGGCATGGGCGCGTGGGGGGCAGCAGGCATGTGGGCACGGCAGCAGTTCGCTCGCTCGTAGATCGGTAAGAAAAGTGGGGGGCGTCCTATACATGGGGGTGTCTTAGAGACAGAAAAATACGGTATTTGTGCTTATAACACCCACATCACACAGGTGGTGAATTAGAAATTACTTCTTGATTTCTTTAATAAATGAACTGATTGTAGGCACACTCTCCAGTTAATGCATGATTGCTGTTTTCACTCTCCTTGAAACTGGGTTCTGTACCTGTGAGATGGGGGAAAGCATACGCAAAGAGGAGCTTCATCGCACTCCTAGTACTCTGCATTTGCTGTTTGCATTCAGTGGGCTCAATTTACTTATGACAGTTATTTATTTATTTGTTCATTTTAAAGCACCCATCATCCTGACAGATCCAAGGGTGCTGCAGTGTACCAAAGGACAATATCATAAAGCAAGGCATCACCCTTTCTATACTGTTAAAAGCTAGAGCCAAAGCAAAGAAAGGTAAAAGTGCAGGCAGAGGCAATAAGATGGACCAGAAGCTCCTGAACAAGGTGCTCCTCATGAGGAAGACTCATTATGCGAGCCTCTTACATGATGCAGTTGAGTCCTCGGTGGGACTCTGGAAGCTCCAATTTACAAGCTTTCAGTGGATCCCTACCAACACCTGGAGCAACACCTTGCTGCGCTACTCCCTGTATCTCATGTCCTGTTCCTTGGCCTTGCCTTGTGACTGATCAGCTCTGGACTCCAGCTGGGTGGTGCTGCCAGGCCACATTCCTGCCTGGCTCCTCTCTCTCTTGCCTGGACCTTGGCTGCACCTCAGACCTCTCCCCTGGGAACCGTCTGCTCGGCCGGTAGTACATGCTTTATCCACGGCCTGTATCTGGACTACTCTAGTCCTGTTCTGCTTTCACACTGGACTGGACTCCCATGCTTGATTATCTGCACATCTCACTGGCTTGCTATTGGGTTTCTCCCTTGATTTGCCCCAACCCAGACACATCAGGCTGGTAATCTAGCTGAAGCTGGTCAAAGGAACTCCAGGCCAAGGAGCCACCTCTGAGCCTTCAGTGACATGCTGATAAAGGAGTATCCCCATCTGTGGCATGTCACCCTCCCCTCATCTAGGAGCTGATTGCGGGGATTGGGACTTCCTGTTTATAACCATGCAGATGACTAATGTCTGGCAAGGAGGGACTTGTCCTACAGAAATGTGGTCACACGACTCCTCAATTGATGGCACGGCCCTGCCGCCCAAGGACATCTTTCAAAAGGGATTTGGAAATGAGGGCTGTGCACTGTTCATGCCTTCCCTGGGCCTTCCTCCCTGTCTTCTCAGCATAGCATCCAGTGCAGCACTTTTAGCCCTGGCCAGTGGATGCAAACGGCAAACTGCTTTATTACCCACGTTTGTATAGGATTGGGCAGAAGCAATTTCCCAATTGCCCTTGAATCACAGATAAAAACAGGGCATATTTAGTACCTAAAGCTGCCTCACACTGGATAAAGCCTGCTAATCCATCTAGCTAGCGATCGCTTAAGCTGATCGGCATCAGCTCCTTCCAGGCTCTTCGGCAGAGGTACTTTCTGCCCTGCTTTCTCCAATCCCTTCCCCGGAGGAGCCAGAGATTGAACATGGGATCTCACGTGTGCCACATGTGCCTCCCTCTGAGCTCTGGCCCCTCTCCACAGAACTTTGAAGGGGTGCCCAGGATAAGTTAGGAGGCAGAGAGAACCTTGATGTTGCCGGCAGGCTGAGTCAGGCACACCGGCCACCTGGCACAGTCTCCCACACTGCATTTCTGCATTTATTTATTTATTATTTATTTATTAAAACATTTATTAAAATGTTTTAATAAATAAATAATAAATACATAAATTTCTATAAAGAATAAAAAACACCTGATTGAGCACCTAGATATATAAATTAGCATTTGGTCGTCGGGGAGGCAATTGGGTATCCCTTTTTTGCATTATGTATATGTCTCCTCTTGCAGTGAAGGACCAGCTTGCCAGCTTTTCATTTGAATGTTCTGTTGTCTGGCTGGGGCCTGGAGAGGCAGGATCCGGAACAGGGCTGGGAGTGAAACCAAGGGACGGCGCTTAGGCATAACTGCCCATTCAGCCCTGGAGTACAACTACAACCCTTCAGCCATAGGAGGAAAAGCAACACCTTTGCATTGCCCCTCGACTTTCTGACAAGTTACCCAGAAACAAAAAGAATGCTTGGGCTGGGTTTGTTTTCTGGCTTGTTGGCATCAATAAGGTCCTGACGTCTACTGAACGTATGTCAGTCTGCACCTGATGGGTCTATCCAGTAGTCCAGGTTCACTTGCTGAAATGTGCTCTGCATGGGGCTGGCACAAAGAAGGCAGTTCGGAGGCATCAGAGGGTAGAGAACATGGTCTAAGCATTTGGATTGCATTGCACAATCTTGTGCTGTTGGATGAGGGCTGCCTGTTCCCAGGCCTAGTATAAAAACTGGTAAATTTGCATAGGACTGTAGCCCCAACTGTTGAAAAATAATCGCCACATGTCCCATGTATCATTCAGTCATAAACCTGTGCAGAAAGACTAATGACATATGTAGTGATCAACCTAAAATGTACATATTAGAATAAAAAAGTCACCAGGGGCATGATCTAACCAGCATTTTGCACATTTAGGCCCCACTGATTTCCATTACTATCAGTCAGATTTTAACTAGTTGACATATTAAATATTACAAATATTGAAATCCCGAGTTAATATCAGGTGAAGATTAATACTGGTGCCAGGCAAAGACCTTCCTTTAAAAAATTATTTTAATAGTCAATGTCACTCAACCTTCTGCTTTGTATTTATCTCTGTTTTATTAATATTGTATTTTTAATGTGCTGTAATTAGTTTTTACTGTGAGCTGCCCAGGGGTGCTGAGGCACAATTGGGTGGCATACAAATGTTTTAAATAAATAAATAGATGAATAAATACCTACACAGGGCAGTAGTGACAAACATAGTAGTAGCTGAAGCCGGCTGAGGGACAGTAGGTGCCGTAACAACCGACTTGGTAAGACTTGTACCAAACGATCTGCAGATATACAAGCATCCATATAAGAAAGTATGTTGTGCTCTAAGTTGAACTATAAAAATGTACATTTAATAAATCACATTACATTGCATATGATTTTTGCTGTCTGGAAACGAAATAATAAATTATTTACAAATTCTAATAATACAGGGTGTCCCAAAAAAATTGACATCATATCGGAGTCTAACAACATAGCCAATTCTCGCTCAAATGATCTCAAATTTTAACAAAATGTGTAAAAACTAACTAAGTTTAATTTTTCTCTTATCTCGATGAGAATCTGCCAGGGAGATGGATTGGGCGTGCCAGTGATAATGACAATGTGCTGTTGAAATGGCCACCATGTTCAGCTGACTTGACACCTTGTGATTTTTTTTCCTATGGGGCTATGTGAAGGGGCTGATCTATATTTCCCCTCTTCCTACAAGCCTGGAGGAAGTCAAACAGAGAATCACTGAGGCACTGGAGAATGTTATGCAAGACATGCTACAGCGTGTTTGGCAGGAGGTGGACTACCGACTTGGCGGGCAGTGCACATATTGAACGTTTGTGAAATCGGTTATAAAATCTACATCCCTTTGAATCTCTTGTTCAAATTTTGATAAATAAATCTTTTATTGTTCAACATGAAGCCTATTTCATTTTGTTTGCCTAGGACATGTAGTTACTCAGATATTCACATTTCAAATAATGTCATACTTTTTGGACACCCTGTATTCTTCCATTAGGATAAGAAGCACCACAATTTATACACAGATCTGAATGTGAATGATATATGAGTCCCTTAAGAAAGTAAAGAAACACTGGAGATATTGATACTCCCTCACTTCACATTAAAATAAAATCACAGGTTTACATGTAAACATTCTGAATACACCATCAGCTGTGTGGTTTGTGCCAGACAAAAATGCTTCTCCAAGGCCAAGCAGTCCACCTGTCATGTATCATGACCTGCCAGTGATGCTTTCATTCTCATTTTCCTTTCTTTTTCTGGTTCTCAGCAGCAGCAGCAGCAGCAGCAAAGCTGAGATGTGAGTGGGCCCCGCTCTATGACAGGCAGGGGGGTGAAATAGTGCTTGGCAGTCGGTCTGAAGGTACATAGACCTCCTAGAGAGCATTCAGGGACTGCTACCTACTACCAGAAAAAATCCTAGACTTAATCTCCAGTTAAAAAAACATTTCCCAAATACATTTTCTACTAGTTCTTCTGGGGAGCTTTATGGATTTCTAGGTGAGCATGCACGTAACAAAAGTTACAAAATGGCTTGCAGTACTTGAGTGTAATGGCCGGTTTCAGCATCTTGAGGTACTGGTCCAACGCCATGCTTGAAATACTTCTCCTCGTTGTACCAGCTCTGAATTACTGCAGGCCAAGGGGTAGCAACAGTTGACATGAAGAGGTTTTCACCACACACTATTCCTTCTAGAAGTGGGGAGGAAAAACATTAACAAAAAGCGAGATTAGTGGTACAACAAGTCCTTCACACGAAGGGAGAAACTGGATGTTTTCAAAGAAGCTAATAGTCAACAGAGAGAACACGCTATTCCCAGAATGACTTTACCGCTCCTCATTCCTTATATAAAAAGCAGGTCAGAAAGGAGGTGGATCTTTCTACTAGGGCTTGGGAGAAGCTGGTGTTCTCCCAAAATATCATAGAAGTGGTCCAGTAAAGTTGAGGAGAAGCAGTTTTGTGACTATTTCTCAAAATCATATTGCTGATGTTATAAGAACTTGGGAGTGAGCCCAACGGAATGTGTTGGGTCTTACTTCTTATTAGTCATGTGTAGCATTACACTGCTAATCTCCAGTTCACTGCCTCCCAGGGTCTATTTGAAGGAAACGTCTTAGGGGGTGGGGAGTGTTGCAAGATGTTGTCATATAAGGAAAAGTCCAAATATGAAAACCATTTTTTTCTAATAGTTCAGATTTAAAAACACTATTCAGTGGAATAGCACACTATGATGTTACACATTTATCAAGCCTGCTTCAAACACTGCCTTTCTTCTTTGGAGGGGTATTTAATACAGCCCTAAAAAGTGGGTGTTTTTCTACATCAATTGCTGTTAATTATAATGACAATCTCCAGTGAGTGCCTAAGGAAGGAGCCATTTTGAATTCACCCAACTCCTCAAAACAGGTTTTTAGAAAAACAAAATGTTTGCTACTCCAATTTCTTCTGTCTGGGACTCAGTCTTTAAAGATAGATGAAATGAATCAATCATTTTAAAGATGGAATAGCAAAGAAATGGCTTTTGCTACCTGTTGTAATTTTGATCCCTCTGGATATGATAATACAAGAGTTGTAGTGTTTATCATGGTGTTTGGAAATCTGGTGGGGAGTTATTATGCATAAATGTGCATAGATTTGAATGAGATTGTATAGGGAAGGATAAGTTAGGAATATATAATAGAAAGAAAAGCAAAACGTGTAGGTGGGCAGGACATGTATCATGTGGCGTTCCTTTTAAAATGCTCCTCGTTTGAAATGCTATGGGTCCACACAGGTTTTTGGTTTTGCGATCTGAAACCTGCTGCCGTAACCTCATTAGGTGCCCTAAGGCAAGCCATTTTCCATAGTCCCAGCACCCCACCCCCATCCGCTATTGTGGGATCATAATACTAGCCTATCAGCTTTGCTCTTGTAGTATCAATGAGGTTGAGTGTAAGAATTGGCCAGGGCGACTTCTTTTATATTGTTATTTATTTTATATTGTGAATTTTATATTGTTATTTTTGTATTTTATTGTATTTTATTTTGTGTTGTGAGCCGCCCCGAGGCTTCGGCAAGGGGCGGCATAGAAATGTTTTAATAAATAAATAAATAAATAAATTACTGGATGCCATTTAAACACGTATTATATTATGCAGCTGCAATAGGTACTTGTACTGAGGCCTCTACTTACTGACAACTCTTTTCATTCGTGGACTGTGAGATAAAGTACATTGTTTGGCCCAGTTTTTGGCATTCTCAGCGGCTATAGTATTCCATTCCTAAACAAAAAGAAGAATCAATGAATGAGAAAGCATATGATGTAAAAGTGCAGAATTAATATTTTTTTCTGACTATCTGGCTGCTTATCACAACAGAAGGTTCCAAACTGCATTGTGCAGCTATTCCAACTTTTCTTCCATAACAGATTTTTGCTGCTCATAAGAAATAAGGATGGAAGAAATGGTGGGAAAACACAGGCAGGTCACAAGCAGAAGACACCATAACCTAGACTCCCCATAAAATTCTGTGAATGAGGTGATGTGATTGCACAATACATGCTTCATCTAGAAGGAAGTCAGTTTCCAGAATTCCTTATTCCAACATCTTCCAGCATTGGTTTTTCAGCATTCTTCAGCATGCAGAAGTTACACTGATTTCTCCCAAAGTGTATTCTGAATGTTGTACTCAAGATCAGGAATGGGTACTCCTTCCCCTGATTCCTTCACTCTCCAGTATGAATCCTTTCCCCTATTCCTTGATGGTCCTAACCACAATTTAGCATCACATCTGAACCCATGTCAGTCTGGTGTATGACAGTAACTGGATGTCTAGTTAACCAGGGTTTCTAAAATCACTTCAAAACCCTGGTAAGATGACAGTGTCTGGAGAAATAGGTGATGCCTACACTACTGTTTAAGTGCTGCTCCAATACAGGTGTGTTCACTGCCCTTTGCAAGAACTAGTGGTGACTGAACAGGAAAGAGATTCTGGGGTTGTGGGGGACAGTTGGTTGAAAGTGTCAGCCCCTTGTGCAGCTGCTGTGAAAAAGGCAAATTCTATGCTAGGTACAATTAGGAAAGGAGTTGAAAATAATACTGCCAGTATTCAATTTCCCCTATACAAACATGAGCACACTTGGAATACTGTGTAGACTTGCAAAAAGTGCAGAAAAAGGAAACAAAAATGATCAAGAGACTGGAAAAAAGATGAATGTAGAACAGGAAGTGATTATGCACAGTGTGGAGGAAGCGGGAAGGGAAATTTTTTTTCTCCTCTCATCATACTAGAACCTGGCTTATCCTATGAAGTTGATTGATGGAAGATTCAGGACAGATTAAAAGAAGAACTCCATGCAGTGTGGAAATGAAGTCCATAGTTTAGCCACACAAGTCATGAAGGCTACACATTTGGATGGCTTAAAAGGGGATTGATTGATAAGGCTACCTATGGCTAGTGGTGAATTTTACCTGGCCAAGATAATATCATATCAAGAAGCAAGGGGGCACATGGTGAAGCTTTGAGACTCCTCTGCCCCATAATTCTGGCTGCCTCTCATCAAGATCCACCTGGCTTGCCATTTGAATGGCCGATGCCTATTCTGACTCTGAGATTACAAGCTGATGAAGTACAGCTTCCTTCCCCATGAGTGGGCAATACTTGCTCATGATTTCTCTGTGCCAGTTGCTTCATTAATATACATGACTATTTTAATGAACAAAGTATTTTCCAGTCCTTATCTCATTGCTCATCATAAGAAGCTTGTGAGGTTGTTTCATAAATGAAAAGGCGGATTTCTCAAGGCTGCTCAGGGAATGGATGGCATGGGTACAGTTTAAAAGCACAACTCCTGGATCTGAGTCTAGATCCCTTTTCATGGGTCTCTCTGGTGTTTACGTAGTGGCACGTGGCCGGCTGCCATCCTAAGCATCTTGCTAGGCTTAGTGGCATTCAAATCAGTGGAGCTTATTTTGGAGTGAACAGCATTGCACTGAACATGGCACGGCCAGTTTTGCCAGTCTAGTCTCAACACTGATGGCTGCCATGCAGCACGGAAGCAAAGCTGGACATGCAAAGTGGCCTCTCCCAGCCTCCGCAAGTGCAGGACACCCGGCTGGGGAGAGCTGGTGCAGAGCACTGGCAATCCTGCCACACGCTGCTTCTAGCTTCTCGGTCTTACCATCTTCAGCATGTTGCTAGCAGGTGGGGTCACGCCTCTCCGCAGGTCATTGTGCTTGTCAACAATCTGCTGCTGCTCTGCACTGCTAGCTGAGCCATCCGCAAGTTGTGCTGTATATATCTAGAGAGAGAGGGAGCAATCCACCGAGGGGGCGAATGAGCTGCTGCCCCCTTTCTACAAGCTAAGATCCAGTTGCCTTTGGATAACCAGACAGCCCCCTTTTAATAGTTGTTGGATGTGGGGGGAAATTACATTTACCTGCAGCTTTCACTGGGCAATGCCCACACAGGGTACCTGCTGGACCTTGCTAGCAGACACCCTGTTGACCTTGCCTACTATTCCTATTTTCTATTTTTGTACCCTCACAACCACAAATGTCTGCAGTTGTGCAGATTCAGGCTAACATTAAAGCGTTTTCAGAAATATTTGCAAGAATTAAGAGGGACAACAATCACAAAAAATAATTGGTGACCATGGGCAACCCCTCTAAAGTTGCTGCTGGGTGGTCTGAAAGGAGTGTCTGTAGCTATCAAAATGAGGATCTCCGGGAAAAAGAAGAAGTTTAAACTGGGAAAAGGCAAGCCTGAAACAGTTCATGATTGTGCGAGAGGGTGGGCAGGCAACTCAGTCTTCCTGTAATGTTTCCTGGGATACTCAGAGAGCATCTGTGGAGGGGGAAAGAGCAGGACACGCCTCCGGGTGAGCTCAATAGTCTGGCTGGACACACTGTGGGATGCTTTGCTTTGCCAGCAACCAACCCAGTGTGGCCTATTACTGGGCTGTGTCAGCTTGAAGTGCGAATGCACCCAGTCATGGTGTTTGGGTTGACATGAAGAAGGGCAGCTTTCTCCTCAAAGGGTCTGGAAATGCAGCACAAATGTGTTGGGTAAAAGGCTTTTTTACTTTAAACTTGAGCCGGAAGAAAGATACAGTGCAAACTGAGTGTGCGTGCAGCTGCTGGTTGCTTGCTGGTAGCTACCATTGGCACAATGATGAGATTGGTCATAGTTTGATGGGTGCTACTTGACCAAAGAAGGATGCTTTAGGAATGCTTTTTAGGGATGCTTCAGGGATGCTTCAGGGTTCTGCATTTGGTCAGAGGTGCTGTGATAGAATGTGGACCACACCAGGGCTGGAGGGTTCTGCTTGCAGCAAATATCGAGCTGCTGACGGGCATGTTGTGGGCACTCTGCCTGGGGCTGTCAGGAAAACATCACCTGGATAAAAGGAATCCCTTTGCTCGTGCAAACTGAGTCTAGCTGCAAAGTCCCCAGAACTATGCCAGCAGTTTAACTGGGGTGAGCATTGATGGGGAATTGGCTTTGGCTTGATTAGGTCAGGAATTATTGCTTGACTGGTGATAGCTTTAGCATGCTCTATATTTTTTGGGTTTTTTCTGCTCTGTTGTCTCACACCTAATGCTCAGTTCTTCAGTGTATAATAAAAGATGTAGCTTTATGATGCAAGCAAAAGTGAACGGTGGGATATAAACTGTGGGGGACATCTTTCATATATTGGTAGTAGCAGCAGAAGGGTGTCCCAGTGAAGGACTGATTTTTCATAGTTTTGTTGATGTCAATGGGAGATAATTAAATATATGCTAATACTGCTACCACCATGTACAAACTTAAAAACATACCCTTCTAGGAGATGGTTGCAGCAGAGCAGCAAGGCTTAGCACGGCCGAGAGCACGTTCATCCCTGCGAACAAAGAACACCAGGCCCTTCCTCTTTAGTAGCTGTTTATAAAATGTATTATTTCATTTGTATTATTTGCTTTATATCTCAGTTTTTGGCCAAAATGGTGCTCAACCAAGCTAACCAAGAATAAAAATATTAATTAAAATATAACATATAAGTAAAAACATGCAATATAAGAAATAGATGGCCTCATTTAACACTGCTTTCACAGAAGGTCAGCTTATATGTCGAGTGTATTTGCCTACCAGTGGAAGCAGCAAGCTAGCCTGCTCAGCAGAGAGTTCCAGAATCTGGGAGCAACCACAATTTTATTAAATTCGTTTCCTGCAATTTGGCGCCACCTTTATATGAACGGGCTTAGAATCTGGAGTGCTCACATCTAGCCGTAGCCATTGGGAGTGTGATCCCACGGCCTCCCATCATCGTCAGGGCAGACACAGCTCCAATGTCCTCTAACTACAGAGCTGGCATTCTGAATGCAGAACCTCTATGCCTTGCCCCTCACAGCTGGCCTGAAGAACAGGGCTGGCCGCCGCCCTGTGGTTGGAAATTGGCCCCAGAGAGGAGAAGGCTTGTGTCAGGTTCATATGGCACCCCTGCTCTCCTCCCTCGCCCTTCACAGTGCTCCAGGTTGGGAGGCATTGAAGATCGCACTCTCAATAAGTGTGCAACTCCTACATTAAGGGGTGGTCAACTTGTGGCCCTCTAGATGTTGTTGGACTACCATTTCAGCCACCTGTCACCATTGGCCAAGTTGGCTAGGACCGATAGGAGTTGCAGTCCAAGACCAAAAGGAGGGCCATAATTCCCCACCCCCCATTCTAGACAGCCCTGGCCCTTCCCCTTCCTTAGCTCCTTGTACCACCAAGAGCCATGCTGGGTTCCTTATGATCAGTCCAAACTCTACGGCTCCTCATGTCTTCCTTTCTTTTGAACTCGCTGCATTAAAATGTACCTTCTAGAGCAGTTCAGCAACAGGAAACAACAACAGGAATCACAGGATTCCATATGAGGCAGGTCTGCCAGGTCCTGTTTTCCATCTGCAAGCATATTGCTCTGGTTGGAAATTAATGACCTGCCGGGTATTCAGCCAGCTGCATGGATGCAGCTGATGATGAACTTCCTACGGGTGGTGCCCCGGCCCGCACCTCTCCTCCCACATCTGGCTCCGTGTTTCTGCCCAGCGGCGCTGTTGGCCATGGTGGCTGTTTCCAGGATGCGGACAGTGAACCACTCTGGAGCAATGCCAGCGTGGCTCAAGGAGTGTCACGGCAACAGGCGATGTAAAGGGTTTCTTTAGACAGCCCTCGCTTTGAGATTGCGGAAGCTCTGCCAAACTCCCCAGAAAGCAAATTTGGACGATATGGCACCTAGTTGCTCTCCTGGCTTCAGATCTTCAGTGGGAAGAGGTGTGGAACCACTGCATGAACGGGGAAGGCAATCTTTCCTTTGGGATGTTTCTTGTGCAATAGTGCCCAGCCAGGGAATACGGGAAACAGCTATTGGGATGACTCCTGAAAGACAAGACTTCACGCCAAAATGGTGAGACTGCAAATGTCTCCTGAATTATTATGTGGAGCCAGTGGTTTTTTTGTAAAAATAAAGGGGCTGGAACTCACGTCTTGGGTTCACACTTTTACACAATGGTCGCCGCCGGCAGTAAGCACTCAGCGTGCGACCACATGACCGATCCCAAGCCGAGCAACGTCCCAAGCCAAGCAGCGCCCTCACAATCAGCGCCAACACACAAGCAGCCCGCAGGCACTATGTTAATGATTTTTGCTGCCGATCTGCTACGCCCAACAGGGCGATTCACAATCACTTGGAAAAATCCGTCAAAAAATGGTGCCGGAACGCTGTTCTGGTGCGTTCTATGCCAAAAAAAGCCCTGTGCGGAGCAGAGGGTTTTGGATCAGCTTGCCCACGCACAAACAGCAGATGCAATAGAAAATGCAGCGCATTTTGCTAAAGCAGCTTCTCTTAGGGGAAAGTATGGCGGCATTTGAATGAAGCTGTTCTGAAGCAAAAGGGAAAGAACTGTTAAGTTCTAAAGCCTAAGGGATATCTGTGCTAACTATTTGCAGCCCACACCAGGGAAGGTTGGCTTGGAAGCCATTCCACTAAGCTCTTTTGGGATCACATCCAAATAAGTGTGCTTAGCAGGTTTCCTCTACAGGGACATCTGGAGACTCTTCTGCTTGCGGGAGGACCTCTTGCAGAATGGTGACCTTCCTCACAAAACTTCAGTTCCCAGGATTGTTAGGGGAAAATTATGAGAACTAAACTGACAACCTATAATTGGCCATGCAGATTCATTCCAAGAATATGGAGGGTAATGCTGTTTTTAAAATCTTACCTTATTATTCTGAGCAAGACTGGAAGTACCTTCTTTGTAGCTTTAAGGAGGTTATAGAAGTCAGTGAATGATGTTAGTATGCTTATATACCTCCCTTGTTTCCTGCATTAGTCAGTGACTCAATGACCAGCAATAAATTACATAGCAATTTTGACCAGACAGAAATTTGGATTTGTCATTGGCTCTTCAAAGACAGCTTTAATAGCTGGAATTTGCCAGTGATTTCTCATGCAACAGAAAAAAATTATTAAGGCATCCATTAGTGTCAGACAACATCTTATAAAGAAGTGATAAATTGGTATTTGTGCCTGTCCTTTACCCCCAAATATAATTTTATCACCCATATATCTGAACACATATACCTGGAAGCACATCCTAACTCTTTCGAGGAATCCTAATTCTGAATTTATTTACAACTTCAAACTAAGATTCTGCTATCATGGTTGGTTGTCTTCAGAGCCTGGAATATACTATTCGAATGTTATTAATTTTTCACTTTGTTAGAGGTATTTGACTAATTGCATAGACTGAACAATGTGTGCAAGCAGATTGATGTATAACATCAAATGCTGTTCATAGAGACCAATGTATTAAATTTCTATTTCTCAAGGTCTACTCTTGTAATCAAAATTGTACACTGTGAACATTAAGATACTGTGTGTGTGTTTTCTCTCTTTCTGTGTGTAAAAGTCAATATATAGGATATGCTTACCATATGTCTCTTGCAGTTGCTTCCCAGAATGCAGCACTGAGAAGCATGCAAACTCTGAAACCCACAGGCTATGTATAGCCAACATTGTGGCTGCCACTGGTAGATTTTTCCTGCATTTTCACTCTTTATATTCTTTGCTGTTCACATGTGCTGTTTTCCCCCATGCGCAGGTTTCTTTGTGGACAGTCACATTCATTGCGGTCTGACTTCTAAATACATGCTTTACAAATAGCACTAACACTACCCATGTCCCCTTTGGAAGATTTTTGGGCAGTATGACATTTTCTGAATTGGAAAGCATGAAATTTATTTAATTTTATTATTCAATAAGAATTAAATAAATAATATTTTATTTTAATACATACATACATATATAATAAAAATTAAAAAAACAATTACATAAATAAATTATTTAACTTATTTAATTGAATAATATTTAAAAGCATAAAATCCAATTATAACAAAAAAACTAGCAATAAACAAAAATTAGAAACATAGAAACAGAGCGAGTCAGAAGGGACATCCTGGGTCATCTAATCTGACCCCTGGCTCTAGCCGGCTTTGCTCATGACATGCCTACAATGTGCATGTCTAGCCTATCCTTGAACACCGTCACCGATGGGGCCTCAACCACCTTGCGTGGAGGCCCATTCCTTACCCTCGGAGTCCTAACTGTCAGGAAGTGCTTCCTGGGAACCTTGGCTCCCTGAGCTTTGCTCCGTTGGAGCGCGCCCTGCCTTCCTCTGTAGGGGAGAACAGGTCTCTACCCACCTCCATGTAACATCCCCTCAGATACCTGTATGTCGCCAACATATCCCCTCGGAGTCTCTTCTCCAGGCTGAAGAGACCCAGTTCCCTCAGTCTCGCCTCATGCCCCATCCCCTGAAAACCTGCCACCAACCTTGTGGCCCTACGCTGCACTGACTCTAAGCTGGCTACATCCTTCTTGTAATGAGGGGCCCAAAACTGAGCACAATACCCCAGTTGTGGGCACACCAGAGTTGTATAGAGTGGTAGTAATACCTCTCTTGATCTAGAAGCCACACTTCTGGCTATGCAACCAAGGGTGGCATTCACCCTCTTGACCACCGCATCACACTGCTGATTCATTTTTAGCTTGCAGCAAACCAGCACCCTGAGGTCCCTTTCACAGGTGCTGCTCTCCAGCCACTTGTCACCTAACCTGTACTTATGACACCTATTCCTATGCCCCAAGTGCAAGACCTTGCACTTATCCATGTTGAACGCCATCTTGTTGTCTTCTGCCTGCTTCCATAGTCTGTTCAGATCCTTTTGGATGTGGAGTACCTGCTCCTCAGTTGTGGCCACTGCCCCAGTTTTAGCATCATCTGCGAATTTGATCAGCAGACTGTTCACCCCTTCTTCCAAGTCATCCATGAAAAGATTGAACAGGATCGGCCCCAAGACAGAGCCCTGGGGGACCCCGCTTGTCACTGGCTGCCATCCCGACCATTCCCCACTAATTACAACTAAAATAATAGAAATTAAAACAATGTTAAAGCCAATACCTACTAAAATACTTGATTAAATAAAAGTGTCTTAACTTGGAATGGAAAAACTAGCAGGGATGGCACCAGGTGTACTTTCTTGGTTAGGGTGTTTTGATAAACAGGGTGCAATCACAGAGAAGGCTCTTCTCTTAGCAATTTCCCCCTCACCTCATTGCGGGATGGTTCCCTGAGAAGGACCTCTGTTGAAGATCTAAGTGATCAGAAAGGGATATATGGAAAAAGATATTCCCTCAGATATCCTGGCCCCAAGTCAATTCAATCCCTGGATAGAAGCATGATCTTGTGCGTTGTGGTGGAGGAAGTGCATGGATCTCTGGATTCTTTCTTGATCTGCTTCGCAGCTGACCCAGAACACCTGAGATGTTTGGAGGATGAATCATGATTTACGTCCATTTAGC